CTTGGCCTGCTGTGTTCATCCAGCCCTGCACCTTGTTGTCTTTGAGAATGGAATGTTTTGTTACAAAAGTTGAAGCAGAGATTGTTGCAACATTTAACACAGAATAAGAAGCATTTAAAGAAAAGAATATGAAAAAGATAGCATTCTATCCCCCATATCATTGCACACAGGTTGGAGGAGGGGTAGTAATTTAATTATGAGTAGTTTTATGAAGTTATTTTGTTCCTTTAATGATGACAAATCATGAACACATTTTACATCATTTGCAATTTTTAATTCTAATGTGGAGGTGCCAGTGTTGGACTGGAGTGGACAAAGTCAGAAGTTACAAGACACCGGGTTTTAGTCCAACAGGTTTATTTGAAATTACAAGCTTTCAGAGCGCTGATGAAGGAACAGTGTTTCAAAAGCTTGTGATTTCAAATAAACCTGTCACACTATTACCTGGTGTCTTATCATTTCTGAATTTTTTTATTCCGTTGACTTCAATGGAAATAAAATTGTGAGAAGTTTAAGACAAAGTGTGGGAATTAATGGGTCCTTTTCAAATTGGCAGACAGTGACTAGTGGGGTACCACAGGGATCGGTGCTGGGACCCCAGCTATTCACAATATATGTAAGGATTTGGATGAGGGAACAAAATGTAACATCTCCAAATTTGCAGATGATACCAAGTTGGGTGGGAGGGAGAACTGTGCTGAGGATGTGGAGATCCTTCAGCATGACCTCGACAAGTTGGGTGAGTGGCCAGATCAATGGCAGATGCAGCATAATTTGGATAAATGCGAGGTTATTCACTTTGGAAGCAAAAACAAGAAGGCCGATTACTACCTGAATGGCTATAAATTGGAAGAGGGGAGTATGCAGCGGGATCTGGGTGTCCTTGTGCACCAGTTGCTGAAGGTAAGCATGCAGGTGCAGCAGGTGGTAAAGAAGGTAAATGGTATGTTGGCCTTCATTGCGAGAGGTTTCGAGTACAGGAGCAGGGATGTGATGTTGCAGTTGTACAGGGCCTTGGTGAGGCCACACCTAGAATATTGTGTGCAGTTTTGGTCGCCTTTTCTGAGGAAGGATGCTTGAGGGAGTGCAGTGAAGGTTTACCAGGCTGATTCCAGGGATGACGGGTCTGACGAATGAGGAGCGATTGACTAGGTTGGGATTATTTTCGCTAGAGTTCAGATGAATGGGGAGGGGGAATCTCATAGACACTTATAAAATTCTAACAGGACTGGACAGGGTAGATGCAGGGGGAATGTTCCCGATGGTGGGTGTGTCCAGAACCAGGGGTCACAGTCTGAGGATTTGGGGTAGATGATTTAGGATGGAGATGAGGAGATATTTCTTCACCCAAAAAGTGGTGAGCCTGTGGAGTTCATTACCACAGGTAGTAGTTGATGCCAAAACTTTGAATGTAGTCAAGAGGCGACTAGATATAGAACTTGGGGTGAATGGGATCAAAGGTTATGGGGAGAAAGCAGGATTAGGCTATTGAGATGGACGATCAGCCATGATCGTGAAGAATGGTGGAGCAGGCTTGAAGGGCTGAATGGCCTCCTCCTGCTCCTATCTTCTATGTTTATATTTCTATGATTTGTTATTGCCCTCTTATACAATCACACAAAGTTTAGGTCCAACCAGGAACTGACAGACATGCCTTTGGGACAAGTGTCGAATGTGTTAAATGTTGTAACAGTCTTTGTTCCAATTAACACTGGTGATAAAACAATCTATCCTAATAGATTTGTGCAAAACATATCTCCTAACCTGCCTCTTTATTCTTCTAATGATAATCCATCAGAAATATAATTTAATTTAATTCATACATGGGTTGAGGTGTTTACTGGCTAGGCCAGCATTTATTGCCCATCCCAGAGAGCAGTTAAGAGTTAATCTCCCCTTTTTAGTAATATGCCAGATAACAGAAACAATCCTTTATTCATTAAAGATTGGAGAATAATTTATATGGGATATTACAGATGTAACTCAGACCCCCATTCTAAAATCAGTACACCCTGTTCTGTTTGCATTCCCAAAAGGGTTGTGTTGGATTAGATGTCACCTTGTGAATTTATCATGCTGCAGTTCCACCTTCCTTCTACTGGTGGTGCTGCAGCTCTTCCACAGGAGGCATTAAAGTAATTTCTCATTGAGGGTTGTTCTTCGAAGTTCTTGTGGCACAGTGGTAGACTCCCTACCTCTGAGTTTAAAAGACTTGGGTTCAAGTCCCACCAACTCCAAGTAACATCCCTGAACAGGTTGACTGAAAATGTCTTAAAGGGTGTTGTGCTGCAATAGTTGTGCCAATACCCTGGAGCCAAGATGGGTAATACCAGATAGTCTGGGTTCAAGTCCTGGCTGTCCCAGAGGTGTGCCAACACGTTGATGAAAGCAATTTTAAATTGACCTTAATTTATAAACAAAGTTTCTGTTGTGGCTGTGACTGGAACAATGAACCAGTGTGTATAGTTAGCCAAGCTTTCAAGGGGTCAAGATTGTGTATTATTCTTCAAGTGAAAAGTACAGCACACGAAAATTTTATAGATTTTAAATTCTTAGTTTTATTTCTCTATGTAAACTTTAGCATCATAACTCCATCCCCCCAATGAATTTGCTGATGCCGCTCATGCATTGCAGAGTGTAATTACAATATAAAAACCAAAAGAACGTCACAGATGCTGTAAAATCGGAAACAAAAATAGAAATTGCTGGAAAAACTGTGGAGAGAAATCGGAGTTAATGTTTCAGGTCAGGTGAACCTTCTTCAGAACAGTGTTCTGATGCTGCCTGGCCTGCTGAGCTTTTAAGGCAATTTCTGTATTTGTTTGCAATTACAAAGTGATTGCCTATGCAGCTTCCTTTGTAATTGTACACAAAGGAAATTAAAACAGTGAGAGATTGTCAAGAAGTTCATGCAGATGCAAGATCTTTATTTTCAGTGGGAAAAGGGAAGATCGCTCCTGTTACGATCTAGCACCAATGATAATGGGTCAAACTGTATTAGTTGTGTTGTAGTATTTCTGCTGTGTGCTGAACTTGTGTGTGATGACACAGCAAGGCTCATCTCTGAATTATAGCGTGAGATTTATGAACGGTGGAAAGGTAAATTTAAACAAAACCCTCAGTGTACCTGTTACGAATCATTCAGACTGAATGTGCTGAATTTTCACCTCCAAAAACACTGAGCAAACCCACGTCAGGAGAACGAAAAGGAGTCAGTCTCCCTGACCTCAGCCCACACCCAACTCTTAGCAACCAAAACACGGGGTGAATGGGCTGACTTTCCCCAGGTCAAGGATGTGACACAGGGAAATGGCCCTGCTCACACTACCCAAATCCAAGAGAGCTTAGCCTTGTATATTGCAATGTAACTTTTCATGAAGTTACTGGAATTAATTTGCAGTGCCTGACACAGCTCAGTTGTCATTACAGACACAACTGCTGATCAGGACACATTGAAAGTACAAAAATCAGTCAATTTTCCATAGAAGATGGTTCCAGGGAGCACGATGAACCTTTTCCATGCTCCCATCCTCTCAGACATAGGCAGAAAATTGAAACAAGATTTAAAGACTCTTTGTTTTCTCCAACTAATAGTCATTTCACTTTAGTTCCAAAGAACTGTCATACTGTACTCGAAACACTAGCTCTGCTTTTCTCCCCACAGATGCTGCCAGACCTGCTGAGTTTCTCCAGCAATTTCTATTTTTGTTTCAGATCTCCAGCATCCACAGTATTTTGCTTTGATATGGTCATTTGGCTCCCATTGGCACAGGTCCACAATCCCACCAACAAGCATTTTAGGACATAAGACCAAGGGCCCAGAGTAAGCTATATAGCCTTTCAAACTTGCTCCACTATTCAGGAAAATTGTGGCTATTATGATTATTCTGATGATTTCTTACCTTACATTTACGATTGTCTAATCCTTTTGTATTTTCTTCAAATTCTTCTCCCACGGTAAACTGGACTTCATAGTTTCTGAATGAGCTTATGGTTTTGATAATGAAGGAATCTCCTTTCTGTTCAATAATCTTCTGAGGACTCAGCAAACTGGCAATTTTACGAGTTACAAAGTCAATATCTACAGAAAGAACAAAAACTGTTAATTTTTAAAAATTTCTTTCATGGGTTCTAGAAGTAGCTACAGGGATAGTATTCATTGCCAATATTGAACTTGGCCATTTCAGAGGCTGGTTAAGAGTCAACCACATTGTTGTGTGTCTGGAGTCACATGTAGGCCAGACTGGGTAAGGATAGCAGATTTCCTTAGTGAACCAGAGTGCCCTTTACAACAATTGACAATAGTGTCATGGTCGCCATTACTGGGACTTCCTTATTTGAAATGTTAACTTAATGATTGAATTTAAACTTCACCAGCTGCCATGGTGGGATTTAAACTAATTCCCTCCCCACCATCCCGACCATCAGCCTGGTCCTCTCAATCACTCATTCAATGATCATTGCCTCCCGTACATTTTGAATCAAATTGGCCTCCTTTTTAAACTGAGGAAGCAAATTGAATTCTGATTCCCCACAATCCAAAGATTTTCAAAAACTACACCTGTACAAATGGCAGGAAGGGCAGGCATGTGAAGGAGGGTGTGATGCCTACTGCAGCCTAATAGTTGGAAAACACTAACCCAATCGCACAGAAGTAAACAGAAAATTACCACAGGAAAAGCCATACCGAGAACGCAGCAAGGTCAGAAAACTGAAGATAAAAATAAACAACACTCCACGCCTCTTGGCATTTGAAGAGGAATGGATAACACAAGTACGTCACGTGGCAATAAAAGTTAATAACCTCACAAGAAAACATTTTGTCAAGGATCTCCTATTCACAGAATGATATGGTATAGTGGAGATATGATGCCTCTGCCACTTTTGTAGAATTGTCCAATTAATCTATTTCTCCTCCTCCAGTTGTATTTTTTCTCCTTTCAATGGTTTCTCCAATTTCCTTTACCATCAAATCTGCTTTTCTTTGTTCTTTCAAGCACCAAATTGTAGATTATGACAACCTGCTGTGCAAAGTATCATTCCATTGTGTTGTCTCTGGTAACTTTTCTACTTCCCTTTCGAGTCTTTAATCTACATTATACGGGACCACCACAATTGATCAATATCATTAACCACCATTTTACTGGGTTGGACAGATAGCAATCCTGCCACTACCCTCTACAGTTATTGAGACTGGGGAGCATGACAGGCTTGCTCGCACTCCCAACAACATCCTGGAGTGAGACTGGAATCTGCAACTTCTGGGTAAGAAGCAGGAGAGGGATTAACTGGGCTAGTTCAGGTCCCCACTGCTGGTTCTTTTATGAGTTACCTTTAATCTGTATTACCTGGTTACCAGTATTTCTACAACAGGCAACTCTTTCTTCTTATGTTTTCTACAAAAGCTATTCACAATTTTGATGGTCTCTATGAAATATAATTTTTTCTCTAAGAAGAATAATCTCATCTTTTTAGGATTCCCCAAACAGTTGATGTGACTCACCCCATGTACCATCAACCAAAGGTCTATTACACCTAGAATTCTTAGTGCTGGGCAAGCCCAGTGCCACAAACAAAGCTGAAGCATCTTCAGCCATGAATGCCCAGTGAATAACCCATCTGGGCCACCATCTGACATCACAGATGCCAGTTTTCAGCAAATTTGATTCACGCCACATGACATCAAAGAACAACTGAAGCTACTGGATACTGTGAAGGCTATGGGCCGTGACTGTACTCCGGCAACAGTACTGAAGATTTCTGCTCCAGAACTGGCCACACCCCTGACCAAGCTGTTCCAGCACAGTTACAATATTATCATCTGCCGACAATGTGGAAAATTACCCTGGTATGTTCAGTAAACAAAAAGAGGGACAAATCTGGCCAATTACCACCCTATCAGTTTATGCTCGATCATCAGTAAAATGATGGAAGATGTCACTAACAAGACTATTGAGCAGGACCTGCTTAGCAATAATCAGCTGATGAAATCGCAGCTTGGATTCTGTCAGCTTCTGACCACATTACAGCCTTTGTCTAAACATTGACCTAAGAGCTGAATCCAACAGAGGAAGTGGGAGCAATTGCCTTTGACATAAATACATTATTTCACCTAATGAGGCATTAAGCAGTCCTCACAAAACCGGATAGAATAGGAATCACAGTAAAACCCTCCCCTGGTTGGAGTCGTACCTAGCACAAAGGAAGGTGGTTGTTGTCTCAGCTCCAGGACATCTCTGCAGGAGTTCCTTAGGGTAGTGTCCTAGGTCCAACCAACTTCAACTGCTTCATCAATGACCTTCCCTCCATCATAAGGTCAGAAGTGGGGATGTTCATTGATGGTTGTACTTTGTTCAGCAACATTTGTGACTCCTCAGATACTGAAGCAGTATGTGTCCAAATGCAGCAAGTCCTGCACAACATCCAGGTTTGGGCTCATAACTGGCATGTAGTATTGGTGCCATTCTACCATAAGTAAGTCACCTCCTGACTCCCCAAAGCCTGTCCACATTCTACAAGGCACAAGTCAGGAGTGTGATGGAATACTCCCCACTTGCCTGGATGGATGCAGCTCCAACAACACTCAAGGAGCTTGACACCATCCAGGACAAAGCTTGATTGACACCACATCCAATATCCTGAAAATTTACTCCCTCCACTACCAATGCACAGTGGTAGCAGTGTACACCATTTACAAGAGGCACTGTTGCAATTCACCAATGCCTTTTAGGCAGCACCATGAACCCCACCATCTAGAAGGACAGGGGCAGCAGATACATGAGAAGTTCTCCTCCAAGTCACTCACCATCCTGACTTGAAAATATATCACCGTTCTTTCAGTGTGGGTTGGGTCACAGTCCAGGGAACTCCCTCCCTGTTAGCATTGCACACGTACCTGCAACCTGGGAACTGCAGTGGTTCAAAAAAGGGGCTGCTCACCACCTTTTGCAGCGCAATTAGGGACGAGCAATAAGTATTGGCCCTGCCAGTGACCCGCAAATTAATGTAATAATTAGATATCCATGTAATCCACATACCTGGGGCAGAACAAATGGAAACAAAAACAAAGTTGCTGGAAAAGCTCAGCAGGTCTGGCAGCATCTGTGAAGGAGAAAACAGAGTAAATGTTTCGGGTCCGGTGACCCTTCCTCAGAACTGACGGTGGCAGGGAAAACATCAGTTTATATGCAGAAAATAGGGAGGTGGGTGGGGTAGGGAGTAAACGATAGGATAGAGCCTGAAGAGAGAGAAAGACAGTTGGACAGACAAAGGAATTGCTAATAATCAGGCTGGGAGGGTGAATAGTTGCTAATGGGGACTGTTAGTGACTAACAACAGCGGGTGTGTAGTGGCAGGCTGTGTGGTAACAAAGCCTGGTGTGTGGGGTGGGGGGCTGGGACATGGGAGAGTTTAGGCCCTAAAATTATTGAACTCTTTATTGAGTCCGGTGGGCTGTAGGGTCCTCGAGCGGAAAATGAGGTGTTGTTCCTCCAGCTTGCATTGGGCTTCGCTGGAAAACTGCAGCAAGCCAGAGACAGAGATGTTGGCCAGGGAGCAGGGTGATGCATTGAAGTGGCAGGCAACAGGTAGTTCAGGATCAGTCCAACTAGGCGGCAAATGGAAACACTTTCAAAATGATTAGTGTCCACTTACTTGAGCTCACAGCCAAAATGAAGAAGTTAATTGGTCTTTAAAATTCTTACTCCAAGTTCTCTTTAGCAGATTAGTTGAAACACCCCAGTTTCATTATTAGTTACAATGCTCCTCTTTGTAAGATAATGGGCTGCAGAAAAAATTAACAAACCTCCAAACCCTCATTTCCAGACAAAAAGAAAGACATTTATATCTCCTATTGAGAAGAAATGTCACCAAACTCCGTGGAAAGTTGTGTCAGAATTCTACATTCAAACATTTTCACACTCACCCAGTGCTTGCATGTAAGACTCGAAGTTTTCATTGCTTATAATGTTCCAGGTGCCATTGAAATCAGTAGACATTGTAAAAAGAATCAAAAGGTACAATCAGCACAGATTGAAATGGAGAAGTAAAATTGGTGGGAGGCCAGTAGCTGTGAACCTGCAAACGCTGTTGAGCAAATGCAGCAAACAAACTGGAAATGAGCACAGGTTTGACCTATGGACATAAAAACTGCCAACTAGGCTGGAAGTAAAGGTTAATATGGGCAGGTTTTCAAACACAGAATTTCTCTCAGCAAGTATTAAAGGACAGTTAACAAGGAATTATTAAAAGCAGGTTCTGTCTTTTTTTTTCCTGGAATCCCTACAGTGTGGAAACAGGCCCTTCAGCCCAACAAGTCCACACCAATCCTCAGAGAATCCCACCCAGACCCATTCCCCAAGCACACTTAATCTCCACATCCCTGATCACTATGGGACAATTTAGCATGGCCAATCCACCCAGCCTGCATGTCATTGGAGGAAACCCATACAGACACAGGGAGAATGTGCAAACTCCACACAGACAGTTGCCTGAGTGGGAATTGAACCCAGGCCCCTGGTGCTGTGAGGCTGCAGTGCTAACCACTAAGCCACCACGTCACCCCCAAAACTTGCCAAAGGCCCTAATGAGATTTGAACTTATGACCTCTGGTTTACAAGGCCAGTGCTCTAACTACTGAGCTACAGACCCAGCACTTAAATAAAAGGAATAAGTACATATGAGACAGGGGAGGTGATAACTTAGTGGAAGTATCACTAGATTATGAATCCAGAGACCCATGTAAGATTCCAGAAACCTGGGTTCAAATCCCAACATGGCAGGCAGCAGAATTTGAATTCAATATGGATTCCATTTGAATTTAAATGGAATTGAATTCAATAAAAATCTGGAATTGCCAATTGTTGGGGAAAATAAACAGCCATCCTTACCTGGCCTGATCTACATGTGACTCCAGACCCATAGCAATGTGGTTGACTCTTAAATGCCCTCTGGGCAATTAGGGATGAGCAATAAATGCTGCCTGGCCAGTGACACCCTCATCATGTGAATGAATTTTTAAAAAACTAATTGAGGTTACTGAATAGTAAACAGCGAATGGACTGAATGCAATATTGTTGAATCTGGTTTCTCAAAAGTGGCTTGCTTGAAAGGTTCAGACAGTTTGTAAAGTGACATGTAGCTGCATTACAAAAAACTTGGTAAACTAGTGCAGCCAAACCTGGAAATTTCACATTGCAGCAAAATGGGTTAGAGGAGCAGGTTACAGAGTTGGGAAAGGTGTTGCTCGGCTACAAATTATTATCTGTCAATGAACATAGAACTGATGCATGAGATTAGGTTTATGGGCAGCAAGGAGAATTGGAACCATGAAGTCTGGATGTGATAAAGTTCAGGGATCAGGGTTTCTGCATTTGTTGGATTGTGACAGAGGCTGAGATAGAGAAGGCGATAGTTCTGGGAACCCAGGTTCGTATCCTACCATGGTAGATGGTGGAATTTGAATTCAGTAAAAAAAATCTGGAATTAAGAGTCTAATGATGACCATGAATCCATTGCTGATTGTCAGAAAGACCTCATCTGGCTCACTAATGCCCTTTAGGGAAGGAAACTGCCATCTTTACCTGGACTGGCCTACACGTGACTCCAGATCCAGAGAAATGTGGTTGAATCTTAACTACCCTCTGGGCAATTAGGGATGGGCAATAAATGTTAGCCGAGCCAGTGATGACCACATCCATGAATGAATTAAAAAAGAGGGCAATGTCTTATTCTCCTTCACTTTTTAGCAATCTCATTTTTCTTATTTGAGGGCATGGGAACCCCCCATTATGTATCACCCAGTACTATTCGTGGGTTCATTCACAGTGAATGAGAAGAACATGGGGGTGCTTAGCTTTTCCTAGGGCCAGGTTTTCTGCATTCTGATTACAAAAGTAAAAGCATTAGCCTGTGCATTCAACTCTTGTTCTTCTTAGCTTTTGTTAACATTCTTTCTGCCTGTGTTCGCTTAGCAGGAGCGTGGCACGTTTTATCATGGGAAGTGCCTGATGCAGGGATGACCATCCTTTCAGAGAAATATCTGAAGTAGGTTGATGGAGTACGGGCAATGGAGCATTTTGGGATCACTATAGCAAAGAATTGGCTCAAACATGATGATGAGAATTTCCTCCTTTTGTGTTTGTAAAATACATGGTTAAAAATGATGCGGCAACAGTGCAATCCCATAACTGTGCTCTTTAACTTTTCATTAGCTCTTTATTAATCACAGGATGAAGATGAAATGAAATTGTTGACTACCCTTCCCAAATGTCAGTTTGTTGAAACAGTTAGTGAGATAGAGCCATAGAGTCATACAGCACGGAAACAGACACTTCGGTACAATCAGTCCACACTAACCATAATCCCAAACAAAACTAGTTCCACCTGCCTGTGCTTGGCCCATATCCCTCCAAACATTTCTTATTCATGTACTTATCTCAATATCTTTTAAATGTTGTAACTGTACCTGCATCCAACTGTGCCCTTCCTCTGGAAGTTCATTCCACACATGCACCACTCTGTGTAAAAAAAAAAAAATTGCCCCTCATGTCTTTTTTAGATCTTTCTTCTCTTGCCTTAAAAATATGTCTGCTGGTTTTGAAATCCACTAACATAGGGAAAAGACACCTGCCATACACCTTATCTATACCCCTCATTATTTTATAAACCTCTCCCCTCAACCTCCTACACTCCAGTGGAAAAAGTACGAGCCTCGCCTTATAACTCATTCCTGACAACATCCTGGTAAATCTCTTCTGTGCTCTCTGCAGCTTCACCACATCGTTATTTGTACTTTAGTGCACAATTACACAATGAGCTGGAGATTAGGAGCTGGCAGAAAGTGTAAGGCTGGACTGTTTGTTCTTTGATAACTGGAATTGACCAGGTTGAGAATGATTATCTCTGTGATTGCAAACTTTCTCAATCTGCTGTTTCAGCTAAGAAGCTGAAAAATTGGATTTGGAATTTCAGATGATGTTGAGAAAAGCTGCTATCAGTTTCAGCACAGGTTTAACAGGATCCAAAAAAATTAGAACTTGCTGGAAAAACTCAGCAGGTCTGGCAGCATCAGTGGAGCAACATCAGAGTTAACATTTCGAGTCCAGTGACCCTTCTTCAAAACTTTCTGTTTTTGTTTTTGTTTCTGATTTCCAGCATCCACAGTTCTTCCGGTTTTTTTTGTTTAACATAATCACATCGAGTTTGTTCACATTCCCTCTGGTCCAGCAATGTTTCCCAGGAAGTAACAGATTCGTGGAAACCAGGATAGCCCAGTATCAGTGCCCCAACAATGCCCAGGAAGCAGATTTTAGCTGAGTCTCCAATGGGTGATATATTGAAACCAGTGGGCCTATAGTTTTCTGACCCACACTTGCAGCTTGTGAGCTATCTGCGCAGGTACAACGAATGAAAAAACTGGACCGGTGACCAATAATGTGTTGCATAAATCTCTAAATTGGGAAAGTAAGGACTATACCTCTTCACCGAGTACACTTTGAGACCTGCATGTCTATCACACAATATCTTTTGAAAAGCCGATCATAACTGCAAGGTTATACACATATACCTTTGACCCTATGTCTATTATGCCTCTTCTCCGATTCCCTTGGTGCAATACTGCACCTCACTGCCAACAAATTATCCACAGGCATAGAGACAATAAACCAGATGGGAGACTGTTCAATCTCTGCTGCCTTCAACCAGAAACCAAAAGCTCTCTAACCTCCAGTCACAAAGCTTCAGTTTGTAGATTGCACTCACTTAGAAACTAACCTCCAGATCACTGCGTACTCCTTTTCAAAGCCTCTGAAAAAACAGACCTTTCACTAAACACGTGGAAACAATGTCATCTTCCAAGGAGCTCCCACACTGTGTTAAGATCAACAGAAAGATCATGGAATCATAGAACCTCTGGAGTGTGGAAGCAGGCCATTTGGCCCATTGAGTCCACACTATCCCTCTGAAGAGTATCCCACCTAGAACCTCCATCCCCTCACCCTATCCCTGTAACCCTGCACTTCCCATGGCCAAACCACCCAGCCTGCACAGCTTTGCACTTTGGAAGTGTTGCTGATTTCCCACATATTGCAGGAGGAGCATTTTACTGGGCAGGGCTTTCCTGCCATTGAGAACCTTACTAACTACAAACAATAAACTATTCACAACCTTACCCACTCTGCACCAAAATCAGATTTGTCACTTTTGCTCTCTCTTCCTAACAAACTACAAAAATAAGTACTTTATTTCCCTCTGGGTACTACTCACTCAATCTTCAGACCTGGTTCCTGAGCAGTCAAGCCTACATCATTTTTTGAAACCTAAGGTCACCTCTGGGAGCTCTGCCTCTGGATTCAGCTCTTAGATAGGGTGGGCCCACTTCCCATGTCTTGGCAGCGTCAACAACCAATATTTCAAGCGCATTTTATTGCTATTCAAATCACTAGCAGGTGGGATAAGGTTCATGGGGGAATAGGATGACGTCATAAAATCAATCTGGACATGGGATGCTGCAGCTGGGGTCTGCTGTAACAGCGGAAACAAGGTGTGATTCCTACAGAGATAACAAGGTGTAGAGCTGGATGAACACAGCAGGCCAAGCAGCATCAGAGAAGCAGGAAAGCTGACATTTCGGAC